GGAGAGCCGTTAACCAATATGCAAATTAGCCTGCAGTACCACTGCTCTATCCATATGAGCAGCAAAAAGACGTTTTTAGACCAAATGTTACAGATTTGAACAAATAAACACACAAAAACATCAAAATTAGCACAAACAGTAATATATAACATTTTAGACACATTCTAGGCAGTTTATCAGCTGAAAAAAAAGTTAATTTTGGGGTAAGTTATTCTTTAAAAGAATAAGTTGAAGTATCTTTAGATCATTTGAGGTTTTCTAAAACCAGTGTTATTTGTTTTGCATTTAATGCAGAGCTGAAACTAAAATAAGCTTAAAACTAGAATTGAAAGAAGCTAAAACGCACTGATAATACAGATTTCTGTTTACTTAAGAGTTCTTCAATTTGTAATGTTTTTCTGTTAAATAAGCATATCAAGGTCTTTTTATTCATCTAGAATAATGGCAGTTAAAAACTGCTGTTTAGTTTTACTTGTTTCTTGGATTTGGCACAACCTAACGGTCCTTTATTCCACATTTTGTGCAGCCTTTTAGAGTTTGAGAACTCAAATAAAACCTTTTTTTTAACTTTTACAAGGAATTTGTCAATTCACTGTCATCACCGTGTTGCTGTAAATTTGTCCTTTTTAACGTCAAGCAGCAGATTTTAATCCGCCTTGATTTTCCGTGAAACACTTCATGACAGCCGCCTTTATAAAACAAAAACGGATTTGTTTCAGTGTCACGTTTTCATCTATGTAAGTTGCTTCATTTTCTAAAGTTTTTCTCAGAATAGAGATTTCAGGTTATTCTAGTGCAGCACAACAATTTAACAAAGAAATTAGCCTCATTTTTTCTGTCAATGCTGCATTAATAAACATAATAGGGTTCTAAAATTGTTTATTTTTCCAAGCGTTGCTTCATTTTCTTGTTTTTAATATCCTGCATGATTTTAATTTGCAGTAAATGAGGTTTTTTTTATTTTTATTACCTGAACACCTGAAGGCACTACCCAGGGGGAAAAAAACCCTGTAAAACCAACATCACTTGCTGATTAATGAGTAAATTTTCACATCAGGGTTTGCTTCTCGAGGCAGTTTTCAAATCTAAAAAAAAAAATTTGTTTTGTTTTTAAACACTGAACATGAGCTGAAACAACTGGCTGTCAAAACTACAGGGGGAAAAAATCAATAGGAGGGGGGGGGGGAGAAAGCTGCAGCAGGATTTTTAAAAGGTTGTTGTGAGGTGCACATGACAATATCGTCTTGTATTAAAGGCTTGAACAAACCAGATATTTCTTTCAGCAGATCAAATATGGCTTTAGTTGCCTCCAGCTGCTCCCAGTTGACTTGGCCCCTCTGAGACTCGTCCCCTCTCTGCGGAGCACCCCGAGTCTCCTTTCCTTTGCTCTTGTTCCCTCCCGCCGGCGTCCTGATAGTCTTCTCCTTTTTATTCAGCTTCGTGCCGACACGGAGCTGCGACAGACCCTCTAAGCCCTCCTGCTGCGAGCCTGCTGCTTCATCAAGCTGCTCTTCCTCACCGCTGCTCTTTGCCGAGGCCAGGGACTCTTGTGACCTGGATCTGGTCAGTCCTTTGAGGATCAGTTTCAAGTGAGATGTAAAGGTATTATCAGAGTCCTCCGATTTGCCTTGGGAGGAGTTTTCATGCCAGGAGCCTGAGTTAACGGCAGGTTGTGGAGCTGGGTTTGTTTCTGCCTCGTTGGGCTGCCGTGGAGGGGTGTTGTACTGGGAGATAACAACAGTTGGGAGTGCAGAAGCAGGAAAGTCTCTGCTGCCCTCAGAATCCAGATGGTTCTCGACTGTAGGAGCTGAGGAGTCTGGATCTGGCATCGGGCTCTCTTTTGGGACTTCTGTCTGTGGGTTAGAGTTCTGCAAAGAACAACAAAACACTGTGGTCAAGAGGAGACTGCCGACCCTGAGGGAAAGACCTTCATGATGGAAAACAAGCACGAACATAAACAAAAACATTTTCCCAAACATTACATTTAGTTTACTCTGGATGCTGTGTAACTTCTGCAAAACAAGAAGAGAACCCAACTTTTCCAAGGACAAAAAAAAATAGTAATAGTAATAAAATTCAAAAATAGATTTTAAGTCCCATATAGTGGTTTGTTGAACAAGTTGGGTTGATTGACATTTTGGCTTTATCATATTTAAGTAATTAACAGGCAGGTAGATCCTTACGAGACCAAGAAAACTCACCTGAATACTACGATAACATGCATATCAATGTTTCCCCTTTTGGTCTTGGCGGTGGGGTGGGGGCTACTTGTTTTATAAAAACATAAATTTACGTGACTCAACTGCAATTATGGTAATAAATTTACACATACATAAATATTTAATTGCCCAACTACATACTAGTTAAGGACTCCTCATGATAATTATCAATAAAATTATTATTGATAATAAATGATCAGAACTGTGTGCAGCAGATGATCTGAGTCCAGAGTTCTCAGTTTGAAACCTTCTGGAGCTCTTCTGTGTGACTCTAGGTGTGACAGAGTGTGGATGGTTGACTGTCTCTTTTGTGTCCCTGATGGAGACTGGAGACCTGTCCAGGTGTCTCTGGTGAACTGGAGACCTGTCCAGGTGTCTCTGGTGAACTGGAGACCTGTCCTGGTGAACTGGAGACCTGTCCAGGTGTCTCCTGCCTTCACCCAAAGGCAGCGAGGACAGGTTCCAGCCCCACCCTGACCCTGATTAGGAACAAGGAGGACAGGAGGAGGATTTTTCTTTATAGCAGGAAACAGACATTTAATTATAAAACATGATTTATTTTATGTTAATCTGAGTCAGTTTAGTGTTTGTAAATATATTTGACAGTTTTGTAGGAATGAACACGTTTGTAATGTTTGTTCAAAATAAACTTGCTTATTATGACTTCTGTAACATATTTTAAATAAAATATTATCAGTAAAAATTTCAAATCATGTCCTTTTTAATAATTATTAGAACTAGAAGAACTTTAATCTCAGCAGAGTTTCCCCAAGGATTTTTTTAACTGTGGTGGTGACCTCTCATGTGGGGGTTTGACAAAATCTGGTTGTCCTCAAAACATTTTGGTTGTCCAAAAAATCTCAATAAAAATATAATTTAATAAGTAGACTATATTGCTCTGTATACAAATATTTACAAATGTTCCCAGTCAGCAGGTTAACAGTTTTAGGAGCTGCTTGAGGAGAACTTCCTCATTCTCCTCCTCATCCTCTTCTTTGAAATAGAGATAAAAAACCAACATCCAACATCCATAAGCTTTCTGCTTACAGGTCAAACATTTTTATTTAAATAGGAGTAAACCGTGTACTTATTAAAAGTTACAGTTTAGTGTTCTTAGGACTGAAGACTTTCTGAGGAAAGAAGTTTTTAAACATCTTTTCTATAATTTTAGTGTTTTCAACTGAGGAGCTTTGATATATTTATTTTAAATACATTATAGCAGAGGAAGTTCTCTGAACAGAAAAAATATATATTTTTACTGTTTTTTTTAACCAAACTGACAAGTTTCTCCAGTAAAATTATTGTGTAATTTAAAGGCATTGAAACACCTGGTTAAATTTTGAAGGTATTATGATTAACTACAAACATCTGAAGCTGACTCAGAGAACTCTGTGATTTTAGAAAAAATAAAAGTCAAATGTAGACACGTCTTTAAGAGACACCCCCCTCCTCCTCCTCCCCACCCTGCACAGCTGCAGTCAGCGAACCTCCATCCCACCCGCGTTGTGTGGTTAACACTGATTTTTTGCGCAAATTACAAATTTTTGACGCTCATTATACAAGTTAAACGTCTGAAGGGGTTGACATGTATGAACTTTAAGTCCCGGGCCGGGCTGGTCGGAGCTGAGCTGCAGGTGGACAGGTTCGCTGCCCCTTGCTTTAAAAACAGTCAGCTGATCCATCACGGTTTTGTTGCGCTCGTGACGTGAACACACGGGGGAAAATGCTGCGAAGTGCTTTTAGAAATATAATCAATATGAAATATGACGTAATCCTCGGTGGAAAATAGTCCAGGAAACGTGTGCGTTCCCAAGAGGTGTTCACCTGCAGCTGAGTGAAGCTGACCCCCCACCCACAGAGAAAGAAAAAAGGCAGTAATTATTGATAAGGTAGTAAGCATGCTGTGGCTTCACCTGTTGCTTTTTCTTTTAAAGAAAGAAAAAGTAGCTTGCAAAGCCGTCACATCGGTGCAACGTGATTAAAAACAGAGCTGCGCGTCTAATCAGACGTCTTCCTATCTTTGTGAGGACCACACACAGCGCTCAGCCTCGCTCTGCGCTCTTTTCCCCCCAAGTTTGGTGAGAGGTGGATATGGAGGGACGCAAAAAATAGCTCTCGACTTGATCTGGCCTTATTTAAATAAAAATGACTACATGCCGTGAAATACTTAGAGGGGCGGGCTGTCTCGTTGGCTGGCCCCGCCTGTATTATGGTAGGGGAATCACTGCATATAATGCTAATCTGCTTCCTGAAATTATCACAAATTGTTTATCTCGTTTGACATGTGGCCCTGTCATGGATCGGTGACCTATACAGGGTCCGCTGGAGGGTGGACCAGCTTCATGTGACCCCCCACCAAAGTTATTTAGCTGCAGGGGCCATTTTGAACCATGATGACTTTAAAATTTAGATCATTAGTTTTATTACAATCAGTTCTGCGGTTTTTGAGATATTTTACTAACAGACAAACACGAGGCTGCTAAATGATGTCTTGACGTTTTAAAGGGGCAATATCATGTAAAATCAACTTTTTTGAGTTTTATATCATGTTATAACATTACACTCTCATAAAAACATGCCCAAAGCCTTGCTCTGACTCATTCATGCATGTTTGAGACATCCTGCAGTGTTTTTAGGAAGCCATGCTGAGGAGCAAAACGACAAGTGGGGACCAGAAACGACCCTAGGACGTGTCTTTAAGCCGAACTTCCTCATGGTTTTATTTCTATGTGGAAGTGAACTGGTACTAACAGAAAGATGAGCAGGGTGTTTTTTTAGTGTGCACCACAGCCTCTCAAATTTAGAAATATCACAACCCTGATACACAATTGGATTTGGCTCTTGGTCTAACTCGACTAAGGTTGCATTAATCTTGATAAATATTGCACCTTCCTTTAACCGGAAACCAATAAAGATGCAAAATTTACAAATTGAACAGGCAGAGTGGAAAAAACAAAACATTTAAGGTGAATACATCAACGATACTTGCATCATAATAAAAAAAACAAACAAACAAATGAGCAAGACCCCCAACAGATGTCTCATGATGACTTAATTATCCAGCTGTCAATCAAGTCTGCGCCGACACAGCAGTTTGTTTACAAAGATCAAGATGCTTTTAGTTTAATTGCAATCACTGAACAAAAGAAACATGTTCTGCATATGTTTAATGTATTTATCAGACCGAAGATTTTCACTTTCTAAATGATCAATATCTTATAGAATTATAAAACTTTGTTTAAACAGAATACGATTTTGTTCAAATTAAAACAATTCTTTCAGCTCATCTGCAAACTTTAGCTCCCGGGTCGCACCATGTTCAGCTGCGAAGATGAAATATCTTCAAAGAAACCGAATTAGACAGGTCCATAAAGTGTAATGTGGTTATTTAAAGGGCTGTTAAGCCTCATAATGACTGAGACACTCACGTGTTCTCATTTAATGCTTTCCAGAGTAGTGAAAACAATTTCAGACCCAACATTGCTGCTGTGTTAAAAGTATAGACAAATGAGACAGAGATTGTGTTGAAAGACATTTGTGGAAAAATAATTTCATCCATTTAAAAAAATGTCATGGTTAACTATTGAAACTGTTAGCCTTTGCAGATGTTTTCACACTAAAAGAAACCCTCAAATTCAGCTTCAACCAACAAGGTTCATTTATCCAATGAATCAACTGTTCTAGTTTTGATTTTAAAAATTGCTTGCAATAATGTAAGTCAAAGAAATAATTTTATATATTTTTCAAACTATTTGCAAACTTAAGACAGGAGCAGAAAACAGTTTTTACTGATTTAAAAAGTCAGCTGGTTTAAAGTGTCTGTGACATCAAATTTTTGTAATGAATATTAATGCATTTTTAGAAAGATAATGATAACATATTGCAAAAAAAAAATCAATGCTGCTGAGATATTCACATGTGGAGTAACAGGAAGTGATGTCAAAAGGGAATGTCTGCATGTTCACAGAGCATCGCTACAACAGCCAACAACACAGACACTAGAGAAGAATCTGATGCTTCTTTAGTCTGAGTCTAAATTGATCAGAGAGATGAAGAACAGTCAGGGTTCAAATATAGTTTCAATAAAAAAAGACCAGAGAGTTTTCCTTTTGAAACAGTTCCACTTTGATGTCACTTCCTGTTTCACTTAGAGCCAAATTCAAAAGAAAATAGGTACAATTGTGTGTATTATTCCAAGTTTCTTAAATATAAACGTTTTCTTTGACTTGTTGTATTTGAAAGATATGCAGGTCTCATGCACTTAAAAGATAAACAGGAACTGATTTTAAAAAGATAACTTGATTATTTGTATATTTTATTTTTCCTCCAACTCATTTCTACATATAAACAGGCTTTCATAATATTAGATAATGGCTAACGAGAGAATTCTTGCACAATATGTCCGGCTGCAGGTGATGTCTGACCACACAGTAAGTGTATGAACTCATACAGGCATGAACCAGCAAGAGTCAAATGGTTGGTTGATTATAGTCATAAAGAAAGAGCACTTCTATTTTAAGCTTGTTTGTCAACCTGCAATTTCTCCTACCTGCAAACAAAAACAAAAATGCTGGAAGTGCACAGAAATTCTCCTGGTGAGAATTTTATTTACTTGAAAACTAGTAAGTTCAGTTTTTCATGTCTTAGTCATTTGTTAACTTGGGAAAAAAAGATTAAAATAACATCAGTGAAACATTACCTCCTCTTCTTCTTGGCCAGGAGTGAGGAAGTAGGCCAAGCCACTGAGCAGGCCCCACACACCATCATAATGCTCTTTTTCACTCAGCAGTTTATCGAGAGGACACAAGAATTGAAAAACAGGCTGACTGTAGCCAATTGCGTTATCTGAAACCAATTCCTGGAAGAAAAAAAAAAGTTGAGCAATTGAGTTTTTTCACCTTTTATCTTTCAACATATGAGGTTTCCGACCTGCAGGAAGTGTCTGACTGATGCTCTCGCTTCTTCTTTAACCTCATCATTAATGTTGGATTCATCCAGCTGTAAGATCGTAGGAAGGCTGGTAGAGTCCTGAAAAAAATAAAAATAAAAAGATTTAACTATACTTGGTAAACTCCGATGCCATGTATTCTCTATTTGGCAAACTTGTTGACTAAAAAAGTGCAACAAAAATAGCTCATTCACAAAAGAAAATGGTTTTATTAATGTTAATTTTTGCCACTAGATATTAACTGTTTTAAATAGTTTCAGGCAATAAATACTTTCTTGGCTACTGCAATGATGCAAATTTCCCACTGTGACACACAGGTTTAAATATTTTCTGCCTACATTTTCCTCATAAGCCTAAGCCGTGTTCTTCTGACAGTGCTGCCTGTTTTCAGTGCCTGGTTAAATATAAACACATTGAAGCACAGTTGTTCCAGTGAGTCTCTTTGTTTGAACCATCTATGTCATGTGGAACAGTTTTATACCTTTGTGTTTCATGCTTCAGTCAAAAGAACTGATGTGATCTGTAGTGTTTGGGCCTTAGCCGTATTAGTCCAAGATATACATGTTTATTTGCATTAAAAGTACCAGCAATTTTGATGGTACCCCATTAAAGCACATCCCTTACAGATATAAAAAACTCATTTCTTACAAAATTTCTCTCAGACACAAAGTCAGAATTCAAGATTAATGATAAATTCATGGCTTTGACTATGTCTATTTAATATCTGACCATAATCGCCAGATCCTTTGCTTTTCATCTGTTTTTTTTTTTTTTGGTACAAAAGTGTTAAAAACTGATTGTTTAACTAAATCCAGGTAACTAATACTGAACTGGCATCCACAAAAAGGGCCAAAAAGTGTCAAAATTTGAGCTTATTTTGAAAATTTGGTCATGCTCTTTCCCTAATTGTTCTGTCAGTATTTCCTAAACTGGCACCAAACTGCACCAAAAATATCTTCAGACACTGTACTAACCAAAGTATATAAGATAAGATGCACAATGTCATCTTTTTTTTTTTCATTTTAGTAGCAAACAAATGATGCCAACACTCTAAATTAATGATACATGCCAAATTTCAAATATTGTACATATTATTGCCCCACTTCATATTTAAATCATACTTTAGTGTAGTTAGATCAAAGTATATTTGAAACCACTGGGTTATTAATGTTAATTAAATCTCATCCATCCATTCCTTATCTTTCGTTTTATCCAAAGTCGGGTTGCAGGGGCAGCAGCTTGAGGAGAGAAGCCCAGACCTGATCTGTCAACCAATCACCACCTGGTAGTGAGTTGGATCAGATGGTGGACAGACCTGATAGACCTAAACGTGTAGTGAGAGTTTGATGGGAACACCTGGCAGAAGAACCTGTCAGAAAGAGCTTTAACTCACACCTCTGAGAGAACTTCAACTACATCCCAGCCGAAGCAAGGGGACATTGAGTCTGAGTGGGCAATGTTCCAGGACCTCAATTGTTGAAGTGCCTGACTTGAGCTGTGGCGGCAAGGTTGTTGGTGCTTCTCACAGTGGTCATCCTCGAACTTGATGGGACTTGAGCATCAGAATTGGGAAAAAAGGTGATTTAAGTGACTTGGTAGCATGATTGTTGGTGCCATACGGGCTGGTCTTAGTATTTCACGAACTGCTGATCTACAGGGAATTTCATAAACACCCATCTCTAGGGTTTACAGAGAATGGTCCAAAAAAAGAGAAAATATCCAGTGAGCGGCAGTTCTGTGGGCACAAATGCCTTGTTGATGCCAGAGGTCAGAAGAGAAAGGCCAGATTGGTTCAAGCTGATAGAACGGCAAGAGTAACTCAAATAACCACTCGTTACAACCAAGGTATGCAGAAGAGCATCTCTGAACACACAATACATGAAAACCTTGAGGCAGATGGGCTACAGCAGCAGAAGACCACACCGGGTGCCAATCCTTTCAGCTAAGAACAGGAAACTGAGACTACAATTCTCACAGGTTCACCAAAACTGAACGATAGAAGATTGGAAAAACGTTGCCTGGTCTGATAAGTCTTGATTTCTGCTGCGACATTCGGATGGTAGGGTCAGAATTTGGCGTCAACAACATGAAAGCATGGATCCATCCTGCCTTGTATCAACGGTTCGGCGGTGGTTGTCTTGCAATGGTGTGGGTGATATTTTCCTGGCACACTTTGGGCTCATTAGTACCAATTGAGCATCGTGTCAACGCCACAGCCTACCTGAGTATTTTTGCTGACCATGTCCATCCCTTTATGACCACAGTGTACCATCTTCTGATGGTTACTTCCAGCAGGATAACACTCCATGTCATAAAGCGCAAATCATCTCAGGCTAGTATCTTGAACACGACAATGAGTTCACTGAACTCGAATGGCCTTCACAGTCACTAGATCTCAATCCAATAAAGCACCTTTGGGATGTGATGGAATGGGAGATTCACATCATAGATGTGCAGCCGACAAATCTGCAGCGACTGCATGATGCTGTCAATATGGACCAGATTCTCTGAAGAACAGGCAGTCTGGTTCAGTGGCCTCAGGATTCCATCTCTGCTGTTTGCAGATGATGTGGTCTTGTTGGCATCCTCACGCTGTGATCTTCAGCTCCCACTGGAGCAGTTCACATTTAAGTGTGAAGCGGCTGGGACGAGGATCAGTACCTCCAAATTTTACATGGTACTCAGTCAGAGAAGCATGGATTTCTCTCTCCAGGTTGGGGGTAAAGTTCTGCCTCAAGTGGAGGAGTTCAAGTATCTTGGGTTATTGTTTACAAGTGAGGGAAGATTGGAGCATGAGATTGAGAGACAGATCGGTGCAGCTGCCACAGTTTTGCAGACTCTGTACCTGTCTATTTTGGTGAAGAGGGAGCCGAGCTGTTAGGCAAAACTCTGTTTACTGGTCAGTCTACGTTCCTACCCTCACCTACAGCTACGAACTTTGGGTTATTCAGTTATTCTGGGGAGACTCAAGAGTAGAGCTGCTGCTCCTGCACATCGAGAGAAGCCAGTTGAGGTGGTTTGGACATTGAATGGTAAATAGTAAATGGACTGTACTTATATAGCGCCTTTCTATCCAACCAGGATATTCAAAGCGCTTCACACTACAATCTGTGCCCTCATTTACTCATTCACACAGCACTCCTGTTATGACTCCACAAAGCTAACATGTATAAATCATCCTATGGAGACAAGTAGTGCTTTAAAATCACATTTATACACTGATTGGACACACATCTGAGGCAGTAGTGGTGCAGTGTCTTGCCCAGGGACACTTTTTCATGTGACTGAATAGTTGGGAATCCAACCTCCAACTCTCTGGTTAGAGGACGACTCCCTTAAACATTCAGCTACAGCCACCCCAGGATGCCTCCAGGACACCTCTCTAGGGAGGTGCTTCAGGCATGTCCAACTGGGAGGAGACCCTGAGGAAGACACCAGACACTCTGGAGAGACTATGTCTCTTGCCTGGCTGGGAAAAACTTTGGCGTCTTCCCAGAAGAGCTGGAAGAGGTGGCTAGGGAAAGAGAGGTCAAGCTGCTGCCCCTGGAACCCGACTTTGGATAAAGTGAAAGATAATGGATGAATAGATGAGATTTAATTAATATTAATAACCCAGTGTTTCAAATATACTTTAACACTAAAGTATGATTTAAATATGTAGTAGGGCAAAAATATGTACAGTATTTGAAATTTGGCATATATCATTAATTTAGAGGGTTGGCATCATGTGTTTGCTACTAAAATGAAAAAAGGTGACATTGTGCATCTTATCTTATATGTTTTGATTAGTAGAGTGTCTGAAGATATTTTTGGTGCTATTTGGTGCCAGTTTAGGAAATACTGACAGAACAGTTAGGGAAAGAGCATGACCAAATTTTCAAAATAAGCTGAAATTTTGACACTTTTTGGTCCTTTTTGTGGATGCCAGCTGTAAATGGCTTCATAAGTTCAATATTAGTTACCTGGATTTAGTTAAGCAATCAGTTTTTAACACTTTGGTACCAAAATAAACAAATATGAAGCAAAAATATCTAGCGATTATGGTCAGATATTATAGACAGTCAAAGCCATGATTTTTAGCATTAATCTTGAATTCTGACTTTGTGTCCGGGAGAAATTTTTGCAAGAAATGTTTTTTTATATATATCTGTACGGGATGTGCTTTAATGGGGTACCATCAAAATTGCTGGTACTTTTTATGCAGATAAACATGGTCTATCTCTTGGACTATATATGGTGAATGGTCTGAACTTACAGCCACACAAATCTTTCTGAACTGCAAAGAGGTTTTTGTCATTTACCCTGCAGCCATTGACATTAATGGAAAGTACTAAATTACCAAAAACACCTGTCAGTCAACATAATTTGGAAACCTTTGTCATTAAGTAACAAAAACAAAAACAGTGCTTTGCTTGTGGGTTTTTACCTGCCATCTGTTGCGGAAAAAAACAATATCTTTGTAGGTCTTCTTGATATCCCACTGTAGATTTTCAGGGCTGTCTTTTTCCTCCAAGTGTATTGTAAAGATTAGCTCCTCTTCCTCACAGTCGACCTAAAACAAAAAGATGACCTCTGATCAGAAATCTGGCTCCAGTAGTAACAAACCTGCCAACAACAAATTTACAACCAGGCTACTGAAAGTGTTTAACCACACAATCTGTGCCCCCATTTACCCATCCACACACAGCACTCTACCAAGTCTCTACAAAACTAATCTCAATTATTCCATAGAGTCTAATCAGTGTTTTACAGTGCATTCGATCCAGTATTGGGATCCGATACTAAAATAATACTTTCAATAATTGCTCTAACCACTGAGCTTACAGAACCACTACTCTGACATTTCTCACTTACCTGAGGGATGCTGACGGTCCAGCAGCCAACACGCCACATCTCATAAGACAACTTAAATTCCATCAGGTCCTCCTGGACGCTTGCCAGATAATCCTCTAGATCGCTGTCTTCCTGAAAGCATTAGATTTGAAAAAAAAATTCAAATGTTAGGTTCAACAGAATATCTTCATTCTACCATACAGTAGGACTCACCCTCTCAGAGTCATCCTGGTTGAGCAACGATCCCTCTATGCTGCTAGCATCGTCCTCTGACATGCTCCTCTGGGCCGCCATGATTGACAAAATTAGGTCCTGCTCCAACTTTTTCATCTTCTTCTTCTTGGCTTTCTTGGACCTCATCTTGCCCACAAATCTGGACCAACCTACCCTTATTCTGTGGCCTTTAATTTGGAGGAAATCGGGAAGAAAATGTTGAGTTTTTTTAGCTTGTTTTGTGCAACTTTACAAAATGTATATAAAATTTCCTATGCGAACTGAGAAATCAGAAAAGATGATTACTAAAAAAATAAAAATAAATGCTTTATGAATAGGTTATTAATGAGTTAAATCTTAATCTTAAAACTGTACTGTACATTTTTTTCTATATAAATTACATTTTGAATAAGCAAGCTATGCTATACAGTAGACAAAACGTTAAAATTAGGAATGTCCGACAATATCAGCCTACAGATATTACCGGTCCGATATTATCATAAAAATGTAAAATCTCTACATATCGGTATCGGTTTTTATTCTGATGACAAAAGCCCGATAAATTAAAGCCTGGATTTGACCAAAATGTGTTAATAAATGCTTGTGGTCCAGAGATGTTTACCAGTCCACAACTGATGACATCATTAAACTGGATTTTGTCAGGGAGAGCATGATATAAAACTATTGTTTGAGACAAAATGTTAAAAATAGATATGGCACTTTTCCCTTAACTTCAGTTAAATGTTTTTTTATTTTTATATAGACAATGTTTACCTATGGGATGCATCCAGTGGGGTATCAAAAAGCAGGCACAATGGGCCTCACGCAAGAACCGTTCGTACGAACAGATTTGTTCTTAAGTTGTGCGTACGAGTGATTTAGGAGAATTTGTGGCATTCACCAATTTTCTTGTGTTGTAAGATTTTCTTCAGATATGAACAAAATTCATGAGTGGTCCAGACCTGTCGTATATTTTATTAGCAGTCAGTCTGCTGTTATCCAGATGGATTTTCTTCACTAATAATTTATATTTTATTAGTTTGAAGATATGAGTTGAAAATAAATCACACTCCATAATTATGTTGACAA